ACCTGCCCCATCAGCACATTCAATAGAGTTTAAAACATGTCCTGTGTGTAACTTACTGACACGTTATCACTTCGCTATGTAGATACGAGTACCAGCGGGTCTCAAAGCAGATGCGGCAGGCAAGGTAAATCAGGCCTCAAAAATCACACCTTCCCTCACAATCATAGCTTAAACTAAGATGGAAATCTAGTTTCCATACCACCTTAGAAATTCTCTGCACTTCAAAGTTTTTCTCACTGATTGCCCTTGGTCCGTAGCCACTCTAGGATTGTGAGTATTGTCAACCTTAGTTTAAGATGAATACAATTCTTATTCAAGACTATCTGATTGTATCGAAGTTTACACAATCGATATAAGTATCTTAGTAAATACGAGCTTATCTCATCGACATTTCGACACTTCAGATCTGGCTTGCCTCAAAATCACTTAGACCTCATGACCTGCTGATACCTTTGGCTGTGACGCAATGGCAACATGTCACCTCCATATAAATGATCAGGCCTTGAGTCTTACTGAGGTTGCTAATGCAACCTTGAAGTCGAAACTGCAGTCTTCCCTAAATGAGACAACATTTTTGGAGGAAAGGTTAAGTGGAGTTACTTCTTGAGGTCCACTCTATTTCGTCGGTGGACATTTAACATATATGACTTAGGATGAATCCTTTTCTTATTTAAGAGCTAAGCTTAGTATTGAATGGTTATGATTATTGATTGTAAAGGCTTATTTTACCCAGCATCACCCGTATTTATGCCGTCAACCAATTTCATCAGAGCTATCGTCCGATATGCATTATGCTTGCCTATCCAAGCCCTTAATAATATTCCTACATGTTTCTAACTAATTTCACAAGAATTTGCTTTAATTTTTTTTTATTAATAAATGGGACAAATGAGCTTTCCTCAATAGGATTATTGATATAATAATGATTATGAATTATGAAATCCTTATAGAGATTTCTCTAGCCTTTCAGACACAAGCTGGATTTGGGGTCGAAATATGTTTGGTACATTTGAAGGCTATTTATTTGTCTTTATATTAAAGCCATGGTTATTTAGGCCCACACGTTTTAATGCCAGTCTAATACATTGTAAGGTTGTAAGGTGTTGTTCATCTTATACTGAAATGAAATAATTAAGATATTCTTTTTGTTAACAGTAGGTTTATCAACAACATAGTTTCTAAGCCTACTCACCGACTTCCTACTAAAACCTGCATTTAGGTGCACGCCTTCATTATTGGTCATCTGAAAAACGAAATGCCCAGCTTATTGGGCCGCGACAGCAAAAAAAGGGAGCTGATTACAAACTTGTCACGGGCCTACGAAATGATTGCGCGTGAACATCACATCTCTTTGGGTGACTTCCCAAAACTGGAACGTATGCAGGAAACGCTTGCATTGCAGGACTTCAAGACATTTAGTGTGCTGCAGCCAAAGTTGATCAAGTCGGTTGACGATATGCTAGCGAATGATATAGCCAAGCTGATGCAGATGATCTCACAAGTGCGAAATTTATAATATTTGAATAAGATATATATATATATATGTTTCGTTATCTTTTGAATAGGTTTTTCATGACAGTACTTTTTTCAGAAATGCATATACATTTTATCTATTAACATAAATATTTCTTTACTGTTTTTAAGTAGGTTTTACAGACTACCAGTAGATATATGTTTACCCAATTTCGTTAAGGTGATGAGACTG